TCAAATATCTATATGATCAAATATATACATTATACATAGTTATATATGTACATATTCCCAAAAATCAAGTATAACATTTCCGAAAACATATATGTACATATATATAATTCTAGAAATAGAGTTTTCTTGGCAAGTCATAGCTTTTGGTAGTTTAAACCATTCTCAACATATTTATGATTTTCTATAAAAAAAAAATACTTTTAAATATAAATAACCCTTCAAACCCAAATAATATTTTATATAATCCAAGATAATTTTCCAAAGGTTGAAGTTGCTCAAGTAGAAGAGACTCTAATTATTAATTATAATTACGAGATTAGGGGTTCAAATCTCACTTTAACAACACAAAAATCCCACAAAGATCACATACCAATCAAATAATATTTTAGGGTTCACCTTGTATCATGGACCATGGTCTTAAAAATGATTTTAGACAACTTCGGGTCAAAAATAGATTTTCTGAAAATAGTTTCTAGTTAAAACACTTGGTTCAAGGTTCCTCCCAGATTTTACTCAGATTGACTTTTTGGGTCAAAACTTATACATAAATGTACCCGAAACTTAGGATTTTCGAAATAGAATATTCCCGGTGTCGAATTTATTTAAAAACTCGATTTAAATTATTTAATTCAAACACCATTTTTGAAATAAAAATTTTTGGAGTGAAAATAGCTATTTTGAAATTTATAGAATAGAATTTAGGAAAATTATTTTTGGATTGTCACAAACCATATTGGCGGAGGCTGGGCAACCATACTGATCAGAATAACTTTGATGGTTCCTAGAAGACCTTCATGCGTGTGAGGGTGGAAGTGAAGGTTGGGAAGCCATTGAAACGCAAGATGAAACTTAAGAAGCAAGGTGGTGAGTGGTGTTGAGTGGATTTCAAGTATGAAAGGCTGCAAATCTTTTGTTTTCTTTGTGGGATTCTAGGGCACTCTAAGCTCTCCGGTTGTAAATACTTTGAGTAAGGTGGTGTGGTAGGGGAGAAGCTGTACAGGGCACGGTTTAGGCCTTTAGGGCTCCGGGGCACGATTTGCGCTGGTGGTAGGACAACGCTGGTTGGGTAATTGTGATCCATAAAATAGGGAACCGTTACGAAGAGCGTATGGCGGTTGGAGATAGGATAATAATTGGGGTAGTGATGGGGCGGTTACGTATGGGTACAGTGTTGAGGGGGATGTGTCACGTGTGCATGGAATATATTAATGATAGGGGGAAAGAGGGGGAAGGTGGCGACGTGGGGTTTAATCAGGGTGTAGTAATTGTTGAAGAAAAAAGGCAGGTTGAGGGTGAGGGTGAGAGTGAGAGTGAGAGAGGGGTAGTTCCGGGCACTTTTATCGTGGCCTCTGCGGTTCTAACGATGGTGTCAAAAAAACATGCATGGGGAGGGTGGTGCTACGCAGGCCCGCCAAGATCAATGAGTCTCCTTGCATAGGATTGTCGTGGGTTTGGCAACCCGTCTGCAGTTCATGTGTTGTTGCATGTTGGATATCATCCAACAGAAGCGGCCGAAGTTGGTGTTCATTTGCGAGACTTTGTGTGGTAAAAATAAGTTGGAAGGTGTTCATAGACAGTTGGGGTTTGAGGGGTGTTTGGGGGTTGATAGTGTGAGGCGGAGTGGTGGTTTAGCGTTGTTCTGGAAGTTCGGTGTGGAGGTGGAGGTGCTGGGGTACTCAGTTAATTTCATTGATGCTCATGTGCAGAACGAAGGTGGTGGGTCGTGGTGGAGGTTTACGGGTTACTATGGTCATCATGAGCAGTGGTAACATCGAGAGTCTTGGGACTTATTAAGGTACCTTTTTCGAACCCTCATTCTTTGCCTTGGGTAGTTTTGGGAGATTTGAACGATCTCTTTTAAGTGTGGATGAGAAGCAAGGTAGGGTTCCTCACACGGAATGATTAGCGGGAGGGTTTAGGGAGGCTATGCTTGAGAGTGGGTTAGATGAGTTTAGGCTTGAAGGTTATCAGTATACGTGGGAACAGGGAAGGGGGACTTCAGCTTGGATTGAGGAAAAACTTGATCGAATTCTGGTTAATGAAGCTTGGAAGGAGTTGTTTCCGAGTGCCAAGATGTGTTCGTGGGAGGGGCCCTCTTGTGATCATCTCCCTTTGTGCTTAACTCCATTACAAAATGTGGGGAGGGTGTTTAAAAGGGAGGGGTTTAAGTTTGAAAGTGTTTGGTTAAGAGAGGCTCAGTGTCGGGAGGTGGTTTGGCGCAGCTGGGAAGGTTCTATAGGTGGGAAGGAGCCTGTGGCGATGGAGGGTGGCTTGGTGAAGGATTTTAATGTGATATTAAATCAGTGTCATTGGGAGATGGAGATACTCCGGCATCGTTTAGATCTTCACGACTAGTTACATTTCTTAGAGGTGCAGAAGAATTATTTTTCCGTCACGGAACAATAGAATATTTATTGGAACCAAAAGGCAAAGGAGTTATGATACAAGGAAGGGGATGCGAATACGCGATTCTTTGACAATTCAATGAAGGGTCGCCGCCGCCGTAATCACATTACGATGTTGTGTGATGAGAATCGTATGCTTATGTGCCGTTATTTTAATGGCCTTTTTACGTCCAGCCAAGGAGACATGCGTCCGTTCTTGGATTGCATTTCCAGTAGGGTCTCTATTGCTCATAATAACATGTTATTAAGGGTGGTCACTCCAGAAGAGATTTGGCACGCTGTTAAGAGCATGTATCAGAATAAGTCCCTGGGCCCCGATGGGATAAGCCCCGGGTTCTTTCAGGCCTATTGGGACATTGTTGGGGGGTGATGTAGTGTGTTTATGTAGGGACTTTTTTTAGGGTGGGGATTGTCGGAGGGAATCAATCATACTAATATTGTTCTGATTCCTAAGAAGGGTAGGCCGAAAACTATGCAAGATTTGCGTCCTATATCGTTGTGTAATGTGGTGTATAAGGTGGTGGCTAAGGTTTTGGCTAACAGGAAGTTATGCTTAATTGGTTGATTTCTCCAAATCAGAGTGCTTTTGTACCTGGTCGGTATATCACAGACAATGTGTTAGTGGTTTTTGAGACACTCCACTATATGAAAAGGAAGAAGCAAGGGAAGGAGGGTTTTGCAACGCTGAAGCTTGATATGAGCAAAACGTATGTTAGGGTAGAGTTGACGTTTTTAGAGGGAGTTATGCTTCAAATGGGGTTTAGTCACTGTTGCAAAAATCGATCTAGGCACCCGCCTAGGCGCTAGGCGCCCCTAGACCATGGCGACTTCCACCCTAGGCGCCCGCGGCCCGCCTAGGCAACCAGCCGCCTAACGCCTAACTTGATCAAGTTAACTCGTCCATTTCGGTTGAGTTAGCCGAATTAACTCGATCGGCTGGGCCTTGCTAATTTTTTTCATTATATATATATATATATATATATATATATATATATATATATATATATATATATACATACACCCACACCCACACACGTGCACTATTTTTTCATTTTTTTTAGTTAGCCACATAGGCGCCCGCCTAGACCGTCTAGGCACTAGGCGCTACTCTACCGCCCTACTAGCGTGTTGCAACCCCACACTCGTCGGGCGTCACTCTTCTAGATACTCCATCCGAATTTCAGCTATCACTACCGCTTCAAGAGAATTAACCCTGAAGAAAATAAAACAATCGTCAGCAAACAACAAATGAGACACTCTAGGCACCCCACGTGCCACAACAATCCATGCACAACCCCACACTCTTCATGTCTTATATATCCCTAGGCATTGGGGATTTGGGGGCGTTGAGTTGATTGAAAGAGGTGGATGCTAGCAGGGTGGATATTAAGATGGATGCACAGGTCGTGTTTATATGGGGGTGTGGGAGAGTCCTACTTTGATCTTATTATTGATGATATTAAAGTTATTGTAGCTTCTATCGTTGATTTGCATTTATATTTTGCTAAGCGGTCAGCGAATCAAGTCACCCATCTAGGGAGACTGGTTCTTTGTCTGATCATGTTGCTTGGATTGATGTTCCTCCTTTTATTATAAGTTCTTTGTTTTCTAATATTGAAAGTTAGTTCAGTTGGTTGTCAAAAAATAAAAATAAAAAAAAAAAGTAAAAATAATAATAAAAATAATAACAATAATAATAACAATAATAATAATAATAATAATAATAATAATAATAATAATAATAATAATAGTTAGACTTCTTAGAGCAACACCTTCACTGCTTTTTTTTGTTTTTCTCTTACATAATGAGAGAAGAGGATGAAGAGGTAAGAGGATAAAGGAGAGAGATGAAAATGCATCTTCAGTAATTTGATTTTTTGTGGGGTCCCAAAAGTTTTTAAAAAGAAAAACAAATTTATTCTTATGCACGTGTTAGGCACACCATGAGCACGGAGCACCCATCTAGGCGAGTTAATAACCATTTTTTTTCTCTACATAACTTGATTTTTCTTTTTTCTTTTTTCTTTTTTCTCTTTTTCCTTCCCTCTCCATCTGTGGCCTGACAAAAACAATGAAAAAAAGTATCTGTTGAGAATGTGCTCTAACCACTTCCCCATATTCATTTATGAAAATGATTAGGAAGAATAAAATCCCTAAAAATCATATTCTTAAAAAATGTCTTCTTTAGAGGAATCAAACAATGAGAATAGTAAATCAAACTCCAAAAAAAATGTACTTATTATTACCAACTCTTTGAAAATTGTTCTTGCAGCTCACTTAGTTGTACTCAAGTTATAATTAATATAAGAGAATATTAGGGAATACATTTGTCATTTTATATAAATTTATTTACACAATAATCTAATAGTCAACCAAGATACTAAAAATGTCATTTTTGCTTTGATTTAACACTTTTAGTACAAGTTTACAATTAGTATTGTGAAAGCAGGTTGAAAGGGCGGGACACATTATTTGGCAGGACAAGCTTAGCCTGTTTTGAGAATTCTATTTAACGTATATTTGTATTGTTCTCCTATAATAAAATACCACCAATGTTATGTTTAAAATTAAAAAAATTGTTCTCCTACAATAAAATACCACCAATGTTATGTTTAAAATTAAAAAAATAAAAGGAATGTAGATTCAACAATGAGAGTTTCCAAAGTAGAAGAAATGACATACTAAAAGAATCAAGGCAACAAAGATTTTTCCAATTAATACATTATAAGCAGGGACATGTTCTTTCTCATTGCTGTGAAGAAGAAATCACAGGACACCATCAAAGGCCAAAGATGAAAAGCTTGTAGCATTTGGAAGCCGAATGTGAAAAAATTACAGCAAACTTCTGAACTCAAAACAAAACTCAACCATAATTTCTAACCTCACAGCATGAAGCTATTTTTCAGGTATTGAGAACACATCCCACCGCACTTTCTGTCACTAATCTATAGATCTGCAAGTACGACAAAAGAAGATGAGCAGAGCAGCCTTATGTGATGAGATAATAAGAAAAAACCCAGAAAATTAGGCAAGGATTTTACATTTACAAAGTTACAAAGATGGTGCTGCTTAGCACCCCCATTTTGGTTCATTCTGTCTTCCTATAATATAAGATCCCATCGTTATGGGTTAGGAGTTGTCGGTTGATCATCTTTATAGCCTTTGGTGAGCAAATCATAATTGATTGATGCAAGCTGGGAGAGATTCTGGCAGACAGGCAATAAAAATATCAAGAGATTACGTGCTTCAGAAAACTATGAGAAGAATGAAAACAAATATAACCAACCTGCAAGAGTTTGTACAAAAAATTTCTCGAAAACAAAAACAATGATCACTTTAGCCAAGTAGTCCTAGGTGAGCAGCTTAAAAATAATTGAGAACACTCAAAATTTGACAGCCAAAAATAAAAAATGTATAAAACAATTGAGGTATCAGCCTATAACTTAATTAGCCCAATATATAGCGCACAGAATTTCACAATATTAATCGCCCACAGTGCATCTCCATTGACAAGAAATCAGTTAAATACCATAAAAGTGATTATGCATTTAATGGCATTGAAATATGCATTACCTTGAAGGAGAAATTACTAAAAGAATATTTCATTGAAGAGCCTGACTCAAAGTCAGCAAGACCCCCATATTCATCAACCTGCTTGCCATTCCAACCAAATGAAGCACACTCAAGAAGTACACAAAATCTCTAAATAGAACCCAAATTCAAATACATCACAATGTCAACATACCAGTTCATCATGTCGATTACTTACGCAACTGCTGCTACCACTCACACTACCATTATCACTTGAATCCTCAAATTCACTGGCAGCATAGACATGTTCATCTGATGGGTTCCAGGAAAAGCGACTGGTGAAGTAACTTGTATCTAAGGCACTCTCTGATGAAGGCACAAAAGCAGCCTGGGAAAGAGAAACATTAATGCATCATGATTAATAGAAATGGTTATAAAAAAGATGACAAAAACAAAAAAAAGTAATTCAAGGTAAAGTTTGAAATAAATGGAAGTAGAACCTTCTGTCTGGCTAGTGTGTCCCAGTTAACATTCTGGAAAAAAGGATGCTCCTTCACCTACAACCGGTAAAAGGTCATTCTTTACTTCAATCTCATGATTTCTGCTAGGAATGAAGAACCAAAAAGTTAACAGGAATGAAATGGAAGAAAGAGGTTACCTCTGGTGCTCCATTGGCTCCAAGTCGTTGATTAGGATCTTCTGTCAGTAAGCTGCATGATAACGATGTCAGTGGCATTGGACATTTCGACATACTACTCCATACATCTTTCCTTGATAAGTGATTTATTCAGAAAAGAGGTAAGTTGTGCATGGAGCTTAGAAAATCCATAAGATTTATATAACACTATAACAGAACAAAAATCCTAGACTCTTGTTTACATACACAAAATGAAACAGAACTCTCAAACAAGTGAACTTCATCCATGCACAGGGCAGTTATCCCCAGAAAACCTTTTTTTTTTTAATCAATCCAAATAGCCCAAACCAGACTCAAGGGAACACAATACAGCTATACAGTGAGATATCAATCTGGAGCGCATATATGTGTTTTGTTTGTTTTTTCCTTGCAGGTTCTTTCTCTGTTTGATGCTTTGTTTGTTTGTCATTCCCATTTTGAAGCTCATGATCTACTTGATTTCTCTCTCTCTCTCTCTCTTAAAAAAAAAAAAAAAAAAAAAAAAAGAAACTTTTGTTTTGTGATTTCTTCAACTGTATTAACAAGGAGAGTCTCTTTAGTCATTTTAATAGGATTTTTACTTTTTACTTTTTCCTTTTTTGTTCTTTATTTGGTTCACACACATCAATATTGTAAAGAGAAGGATTTTGCCCCCGACTCTCACATTTTGCACTGTGGAGCTTGGAGTAGTCTCCTTGGCTTTATGCCCACCCTCTCTTATGTTATATCTTTTATTATTAATAATAACATTCAGTAAGGTGTGCCCAATCATTACCCCACGGTAGCCTTTGAAACAACAACAGAGAATTTAACTTGTTCATACATGTTTAGCCATATCAAGAACAAATTGAAAATATGCAAAGTAGCACAACTAAAGCAACTATTATACAGAAATGATGCAATTTAAAATCAACATGTGCAAGTATACATGCATGTTCAAGAATATGGAGTACAATGTTTCTAAATAAAGCATTTATAAACATCATTTTCTAATCTTCTAGTATCAAACTCTTGTTTGAGTAACATTCTTTCTAAATTCACAATATATATATATATATATATATATATATATATATATATATATATATATATATATATATATATATATATATATATATATATATAGGGAAGGGTTCAGGTGCGGGTATAGCTTCCCGTGCGGTTGTGCGGTTAGATCTCAATGAAAATTAAAAAAAAAAAAAAAAAACAAAAAAAACAAAAAAAAAAACAAAAAAAAACGTGTGTCTGGAAGAAAGAAGCATAAGCTAAAAATGGCGCACCTTAAGTGATAGAAACACGCACTTTAAGTGTTAGATCTTAAGCACAAACTCACGCACATTAAGTACAAAACCCACGCACATTAAGCACAACCCCACGCACATTAAGCACAAAACCCACGACTTTAAGTATTAACTCACAGACCTTAAGTTTCAACAACTACTGACATTAAGCACAAACTCACGCACATTAAGTACAAAACCCATGCACATTAAGCACAACCTCACGCACATTAAGCACAAAACCCACGCACTTTAAGTATTAACTCACACACCTTAAGTTTCAACAACTACTGACATTAATCACTACCCTCACACACATTAAGCACAAAACCTACGCACATTAAGCACAAACTCCACTCACATTAAGAACAAATCTCACGCACCTTAAGCACAAAAAGCTCACACTTTAAGTTTTAACAACTACTCACATTAAGCACAACCCCACGCACATTAAGCACAAAACTCACGCACCTTACGCACAAGACTCACGCATCTTACATACAAAACTCATGCACATTAATCACAGAACCGCTCACCTTAATTTTGACCTAGCTGCAAAAATTACAAAATTGCCACCGCGTTTTTTTTTTAAATCTTGATAATCCTGGACGTTATATATATAATTATATATATATATATATATATATATATATATATATATATATATATATATATATATAGGCTTCGGATCCCATGAGGTCACTTAGATGGGTGAGATAATGGGGCCTCATCTCATCCATTAAATCATAACATATCAAAGGGTGAGATTGAAAGAGATTTATTTTCCATCTATGGTAGTAGTCTATGCATAAGGGTGTATAAGTAATTGTAATATTAGAGCTATATATGGTTAGGAATAGATTGGAATATATTCCATGCTAAGGATCAACTAATTATGGTGTTGAATAATATATTTACGGTTATAAATTATTGTTGATAGAGTGTGAGTTGTATTTAAACATTTGTACTCAGCAGTGGGATATCTCCTCAACAATGAAGGTGCAACCGGAAAGAGGTATGTGCAACCTCAATAGAAGTGTGTTATGGGTTATGTTCTGTCTGTGCAGCCATTTAGTTAAGTCGGTGCGTTGAGTTAAGAACCCAACGCATAAGCCCAAAAACTAAACCGAACAAACGTCAAACCTACTAGAATCCAGTGTAAATTTTAAACCCAAAAAAAAAAAAAAAAAAAAAAAAAAAAAAAACACCCCTTGTAAACCCCAATCGCACAGACCATAACAAAAAACACCAAATAAATATATAAAATAACAACACACCAACAATTAATAAATCATAACATGTTACAATTAAAATACACATACCAAAATTGCTTTACGTAAAAAAAAAAAAAAAAAAAACAAAAACCAAGCTATAAAAATATGGTAAAAGTTTGCCTCAATTCTAGTTGACAGTCCAAATAAGAGATATTTGGCCTGAAAACTTGTCAACCTATTTGTGACCCAACGCACAAGCCGAACACATAAAATGCACACAGAAAAACTTCATAACACAACGCAAACTTCTGTTCATTAATTTTTAAATTGAATAACGGAATCAACATGCAACAAAAACCACAACCATACCGCTGATTGATCATACCCGTCATAACAAATAATTTAAGCCAAACGCACACACGGGAAAACAAATTGCACACACAGCATAACAAAGAATTGAAGCCAAATGCACACACGGGAAAACAAATTGCACACATCCAATACAATACCATAATTAAGTAGTGTACAAGCCCATAAAATCTGCTAATTAATTATTACACCCTAATTAAGACACTACCAAAAAGACAACAACACCCCCACATGCAAATAAATCACACGCACAAGGCATTATATTCAGCCAAATCTAATCCATCCAAAAACCCAAATAAACGCACCAGATCAAGCCTCACCACCTCGCCTGACAAAGGTAACCTCACCGGATCCAAAATCTATATATATATATATATATATATATATATATATATATATATATATATATATATATATATATATACGTACGCACACATACATACATACATACATAATCTGATTGCTGACACATACCTCTTACCTAAGAGAATATTTGCAAATCCATCTTCAATAAAGTAATTTCATCAACGCACCCATGCAATTATTGAAAAAAAAAATGCAAGTATACACTACGTGATAAAAGAAACTATAAGGATATTGATGCTGCTACACAATGCTAAGCAAAATTATAAACTTACCAATCAATTAGGTTCTGTGCTTCAGGGCTCATTTCATCAGGAACCCGGGGCCAGGGTATCTTACGATTGAGAATATTTTCAAAAATTTTCTAAAATAAAATTGGCAAGAAAAAGATAAAAATTCAGAATGTCCTCAAATCAGACAGAGAAGCAAAAAAAACTTCACATAAAATGGGACAAAGAAAGCATATAACTACAATGTATTTATAAATACATGCATGTCTAATCCAAGACCATTATAACCAGCAAAAATACTATACTATCTTTTTTAAAAAGCTTCACATGACTCAATGCTTGAGAAGATCATAGCACCAATAGATTTACATTATCTTTCCCCAGGACTCAAACCCTTAAAACCAAACAGCAATAGAGATATATATTAATTATATTTCCCCAGGACTCAAACCCTTGAAAAGACTGTAGACAAAAGTTTGTGTCAATGTGTGATAACAAAAGCATAGAGTGTCCTTTTGTAACAACCTAGACCATTGCAAGGAAGAATAAAATCTGAAGGAAGAATACTGAAAATGACAAAAAGAAGATACACAAATTTTTATTTTTTTTTAAATAGTAACCTGAGGATGTTCTGCATTAAATGGAGGAATGCCCACAATCATCTCAAAGAGAATAACACCCACAGACCACCAATCAGCTGTAAAACCTGATATAGAACAGTAGTATGAGTATGCGGAGGTGAATGCAAGCATGGTAAGATACAAATCAATAAATAACAAATGAGACTTTTCAAATATAATCATGAAACAGCCAAGATTTCATGACAACAGTAACTTTGTAATAATGGGATCCAAATTTTCTATACCATAAAACAATTGCTTCGACAAAGCCCTTCTCCACTCAAGATTTCAGATGTATATATTTCATAGATACAAATTCGAATAAGAATTTATAATAACAATCAAGCTCAGAACTGTAAGAGAAATACAGCCCAATATATGCATAAGATGATTAATGATCAGTTCAGAAATTGAATACTAATATGAGACAAGATAGAAGTTCCATCGATCTTTGTGGACCACTTGATAAGAAAAGAAGACACTAACCATGCCCTGTTCCTAGAAGGATCTCTGGTGCCAGATAGTCTGGTGTGCCTACAGCAGAACGTTTCTTACGCCTTTCATGCTGCAGATCAGATGCAGATAGAGATTCATCCTCATCCATCATGGATGTTCCACTGACAGCTGGACCAGACAGATCATCGGTACTATTTATAAGACCAACTTTTGAAAGCCCAAAATCTGTCAACTGTACAAAATTGCACCCATTAAAACTAGCTTGTCAGAGGGATAATCCCATATAGAATGGGCAGAACTAAGATTCATGTCATATAACAAGAAATCAATTCTCATTTAAATAGATGTCTAAGCACCATTTGTTCACAGGAGCCTCAGCACTCTAATAAAATTTGCATACAAGATGCATGTTCTTTTGAGTTTAACACACTAAACTAGAAAGATTATATTGATATCAAGGTTTTTCTCCCCAGAAAAAAAAAAAAAAAAAAAAAAAAAAAAAAAAAAAAAAAAAAAAAAAAAAAAACTAACTATACCTAAGGCCCATTCTAGGAAACAACAAAAAATACATCGCCACTAGGATAGTGTCAATAGTAAAGTAGAGAGCTCACACAAAAGATTAAAAAGCTACCTTGATATGTCCATCATGTGCAATTAACAAATTATCAGGTTTTAAGTCACGATGAACAACGCGCAAAGAATGCAAATATTCCAGAGCAAGCACCTGAAAACAACAGAAGCTCAACTTTATGATTCACCATAATATGTAAAATGTGTGTTAGTGTGTATCTGAATGTGATTTTGAATATCAGTGTATATTTGTGCTCATGTGCCTGTGTGAGTGGAGGAGGTTACAGAGCAGGTTTTGCTTGTCAGTGCAACTTACAACTTCAGCTATATAAACACGAGCCACATCTTCGTCAAGACAGCCTAGGTTTCTCAACAGTGAATACAGATCCCCGCCATTCAAATACTCCATTACAAGATACAAATTTTCACGGCAAGTAAACGAATAGAAGAAGCGAACCTAGAAAAAAGAATATTTAGTTGAATTTAAAATAATCATCATTCCAGTAAATAAAAATACTTCAGTTGATGTGCTCACCACAAAGGGATTACGAACTGATATTAAAATATCACGTTCTGCTAAAATACTCTCAACAGCATTCTTGCGTAACATATCTGCCTTCTTAAGAACCTATACAAGAACCTCATACATTACTATAAAAGAAATAAGCAGTTTGATATACAAGATATAAAGAGAAGCATATAATTAACAGATTTATTTGCCCTGAGAACAATTTCAACTCTAATCTTTAAATCTTGATACCAGAACATTTCACCGAAACTGATTTGTCATTATGGCAAGGATTAGCCCAACAAATGCAATCTCAGCCTCTTATATTTCACACTGACTTTAACCCTTCAACATCCTGCATGTACTTTCATTTAATTTTTTCCCCTTATCCTTCAATCAGATGAAGGCCTATGCAACAGTTAAGCACAAACAAGAAATATAAATATGGGCAGGCAAACATATGGAATGAGAATTGAGAAAGAAACAAAAGTCAGCATCAATTCATTGCAATGGAAATAGGTGAAAGGATTAGTGCATTTCCTCTTAAAAGAGATTCAAAATGTCATCTCATTTCAGTTATACTATGCTTTCCCAATAATTCTTACTATTTACGATCCTTAATTCTGTATGTTATGTTCCAATAATTTCCCTTTTAGCCCAAAGAGTTACTTGTGGCTGTCACAGAAAGGGAATTAACATAAAGGTTCAAGAGTATGAGGATGACATCCATGTGTGCAAGGCATTTAGTGCCAAAATGATCAGTGACCAGATAATGGCATTGCTACAAGAGAAAAAGATAATAGACTTAATTGCCAAACAGAAAAGATCAACAAGGGCATGCAAATAGCAAAACATTCTGTAGTACCTTAATCGCAAACAGATCCCCAGTGGTTCTCTTTTTTGCTAAAAAAACCCGGCCAAATGCCCCACGACTAATTGGTTTTATTATCTCAAAGTCATCTATAGATGTACGGTCTCTGTTAGAATGAACAGGGCTGGTTCTCAAGCTACGCACAACATCATCTTCCAAAGGAGCATCTTCATCAATGACTGTATTTGTTATATCAACTTTCTCATCATCAACTAGCTCGCATAGTTGTAAGTATTTCTCCCTAGATAGGAAAATAACCAAAATTAAAATCAAAACTATATCTTGAACAACCTATCTCAAAAGAAAATTTTTAAAATGATTTGTTCCATGTTTCTTTTGTTGTTAGACCACAGGAATGGCATGGTCAATTGCAAGAACTGAAGGTTCACTTACCGAATCAGCTTTTCTATTCGGGTTCCAAATGTCTCCACTGTAAGTGAATCTAGCTTCCTTCTATCAACGACAACTTTCAAGTCTTCAAGGCAAGAGATCAAATAATCCAATGAGTGATCATCCTCCATAGGCGTATTTGCTATGCATCGAGCAATATCAGCAAGTTCATTCATCTATAATGCCAAAGTAGATCTTAATACCATAAAACTTTCGAATATAACCTATGGAGTCCAAATTCCACAAAATGAAAACAAGAATCTTGAGGAAAGCACATTGTTAATGCTCCATATCCAATATTTCTCAAGCATTCCATACATATTGTTTACTCAATGAAGACTGAAGTACTCAACACAAGATCAAGTAGTGTCAATACCATTACAATTCAGAGTGAGCATAAAATGTATATAGTCATATATTTAAGTTGGAAATAAAGGGGTTGGCAGCAATAGTGTTGTTAGAAGTTACCAATAGTGATTAGTTAATGCATCACCATAAAGCAAAGGATAAAATAAGCAGCACTAAAGTCCTACCAACCTGAGGGAGATCTTCATGCTCAGAGTAACAACCTTTAGTGGACAATAACAAGTCTATCGGGCTGGTTCGTGGTGTGTGCAAAGGTGACCTTGGAGTCATACTACCCGCAGAAGATGTCATTCCTGGATCAGATTTGGGTCCAAAGCGAGTTTTAAATGACATAGAAGGCAATCCCCTGAGCTCATCCATAAAAGCAGAATTATCTGCTTCAGGAAAACAGTCAAGCATGTCCTCTGAGCCTCTGCGAGACCAATCACTAAGCTTTGGAGAGAGTACATCAGATTCTTCTGTTATGCTTGAGTTTGAAATTTTTGCACCATCTGGACTTCCAACAGCTGGCTGAAAGTCCTTCTGTGAAAATGATTCCATTAGCTTCTCAAGAGTCTCAGCAATCCTAACCAAACGTTCATTGACACTAAGACCATTTTGATCACAACGATCAGCAATTGCACAAATTCTAGAGTGCTCCTCCACATGCAAAGTGGGAACCTCCTCCTCACAAATGCGACAAATTATCGAACTCTCATCAGAAGTACTTGGTGGGTCTCCCCAGTAACCCCAAGAAACTTTATGCTGATCCTTAGAAGATACAGATAAATGTCCTTGAGAATCTCTACTAAAAGGGGGCTCTTGATGTTTAGCAGTAGCCAGATCTACATCTGGTGCAACTCTTCTGTTAACTAATGACTTTGAAGCCTCAAGGCTATCATGCTCCTTCGCCAGGGGAATTTCTTTAAGACTTTTCCCTGCAGGAGTAGGTAATTTCTTCCAGGAAGCCATGCGGTTCCGTTCACCAGGAGAATCCAGATTCTTCATAGACTCAGCTGGACGAGACTGAATAATCTCTGGCATTCCAGATTGATCTTTCTTCCAATCTAAGCCATGCTGTTCCTGACTGTAAGATTTTCTTGTAGGAGGTCCCTTGGGGGCCTTTACAGCACTGGCTGACTTCCCATCCCTTCTGAGACCTCCAGAAACATGTTTATCAGTGGGCTGTAATGATTGACGGAGTAGCGAAATCGGTTCATCCTCAGCAAAACCACTTTCCTTGTGGAACTGAAGCAAGCGCGTACATCTTGTGAGTATAAAGAGCATTCGTGTATGAAGTTGCTTCAGCATGCCCGTGTGAAGTTCCTGCCGCCTATCATCTAACTCCTGAACAATTCCTTCACATTGAAGCCAGAATTCACCAGGTGATGTCATTGCACAACTCCGAGCCAAAATCAGCAAGTCTTCAATAGTTTCCTGCCACTCAGGGTGAGCCTCTGCATTCTTTTCCAAAATTCCAACCAAATCTGCTGCAAAGATATGAAGATCAGAATCCACTTCCTCCTTGGCTTTATCAAACTTTGTCCTTATCATAGTCAAAACCTCCTGTGTTGAAATTTAGAAAAAATGGTGAAATGAACATTAAAATGCTAAAAATCTACCAACTTCAAGGATCAGAAGAGAAGTTTACCTACCTCCAAGTTATTTAAGCCTCGAGGCTTCCAAAGTGGAAATGGGCGTACACCTTTAGAATTCAACTCATGGGAAAAGCTTTTGATATCAACAGGATGCCTTTTCCTAGGTGCACTAGTCACACGGAGTATAGCTTGAAAGCGTGGAGATTCAGACTCCTTTGGATTATCACAATCATAAGATGTCTATAAGATTGATTCGTTAGAAAGTGAGATTCAAGTGTTGCAACAAGTATTTGAAATCTTGGAAGTGACTGTTGATACATAGCACAAAACAACCCTTTTACCTTCAAATCTGGAGTACAAGCATCCAAAGTCTGCTGACCACCTGAATGGCTCCAAGAAGAATTGAAACGACCTATCAAACATTTATAAACATAAAAATAATGAGGTTGGTACAAATATTGTACAAACTTCAAAAAATATGAGAACAGAACTACTCAGAAGTTCACTAACAGCTATTCCAATTTATTGTCCTAAAGGTTAAATTGAAAATAATAATAATAATAACAATAATAATAATAATAATAATAATACACATACAAATTCCATTTTATTTGTATATACCTTGAGAGGCCAAGATTAAAACTAAGCTTGAAAGTGTCCAGTACCAACAAAGGTCCAACATTTACAAACTGATAATAGTTATCAGCAAACTAAAACAAGCTCCACCAAAAGGGAAACAAACTATTAGGAAAATACAGTTAAAACTAAAGCTACTCGAAATTAAGAAAGTTGCATTTAGTACAAAGAACAAGGACCTCAAGAAATCCAACCTCCCCAGTTCTAACTATATAATAATGAAGAAAAAGAAGCTGAAGTTTGTAATGCATTGTTTTGTCCCGGTGGAGAACATTCCATAATTTTATTTATTTTTTTGTTAAGTGGAAGCATAAGTATGTCCATGAGAACATAAAGGTTTTATGTGAAATTTGACAACTGTGCTATAGAAGAAGGATCAAAACTGCATTTAGCCCAACAGTATCATTTATCAAACTCTTTCGACATACATAGATTTAGCCAAACAGTACTATTTATCAAATTCTTTTGACATAAGAATAGATTAAGCATTAATTTTTTTTAAGAGGAAAAACTAACAATAGTAAAGAAAATAGATCATCTAGGGTTTGTTTAGTTACGGAAAATGTTTTCTGTTTTCCTTTTCCAATTTTCCAAAACTTTTCAACTTTTTATTTTTCCATTGGAAAACTCAAATTATATTCACATTCAACTATTTTCTGATTTATAGAATGCAAAATTATTTGAAAACCAATTGTTTACTTCTTTATACCAATGAACCCGGCAAGTGACAATGATATCAAGTAGTGGTGGGGATGAGAGTAGATAAATAGCAACGATGGAAGTAAGCAATAATAGTAATGGATGTGGTGATGTAGGATGGGGTGGGTACTAGGTAGGCAGTGATGGTGGGGTTTAAGTAGAAACAGGTTTAGTGATGGATGAAATTAAGTGGTGATAGTAATGGAAGTAGTGGTGGTGGTGGGTATCTATGTAATGGGGGTTATGTAGGTAGGTAGGGTAGAGTTTGTTGGTAATAGAGATGGTGATTATAAATGAAGTTATTTATATTTGGAAATTTTGAAAAACACTAAGAAAAAGTTCAAATTCCTTTTTAAGTTGGAAAGTTCCACTTTCCATTTTTTTCTAATTTGAAAAATAATTAAAATTATGTTTTCCATTTGTACAAAAATTGGAGGGCTCTCTCCAGTTAAACAGGCTGAAAGCAATGTTCTAGACCCTCTGATAACTTGTAGTATCCCAAAAATCAACTAACTGCCAAAATAATATTAAATCATAATATTTTTTGAGACACATTGACCTAGACCATATCTTAAAACAAATATAGTAGTGCCAAAATTACGTTTACAGGTTAAAGATGATTTTTTTTTTTTTTTGAAATGTTAGACGACTTAAATTAAATTGGTTTCCAGGTTGCTCAAATGTGATTTTTAACGTTTGTAATGCTATTAGCCTTATCATCACTAGGAAAATTTACATTTAATAATTTAATAACCATTATCATGATAAAAATAAAAAATAACAGGAGTTATCACACAACTCCCTTTCCTTAGTTGAATTTTTTATCGACTAAAACTTGTATAGATTTTGGGAGCTAGGGCTTTATTTTTTGTCCCATGTACCATCTAATGAAACTTTTAATTGTCAAAAATAATAAAAACAAATACAAAAGATCCCAAACACATATACAGGATCATGCGCATCTCATTTTATTTGTGGAATAAAATTTGGCAAAATCTCATTTTGTGAACTGCATTGTCAAACTGGAACTTGAACAACAAATGTATTACTAAGAAGTAGGAAGACTTTTTCTAAAGGTATATGGAGTATCAAACTAATCAAAGGCAAAAAAAAAAAAACATTTGTTTATGCTAGTGGTCTCAGACTATAAAGTATTTCTTGTAGTATAGTATGATTAGTATCTAATCCAAGCTGTCAACCTATATGTCTGAGAAGCAGAAGCTATACCCATAACCCATCTCTAGTATATCTTTCAGTCTAATCACTGGGATTAATTCAGTAACATACATATATTGCAACCACAGGGACGTTTGCCACTCATTACACATATAAGTTCACTATGAATACTCATTATTCTGCAAGTTATTAAATTCCAAATTCTTAGAGTTTCATAAGCAAATAACTGAACTCTAAAAAAAAAAAAACGTATAAGTATTTGCAATGGTGGGTGTCATCAAGCCATACCTGCTGCTCCAGAAGAAGGTTCACCAATCTGCAGTCTAGATGGACCGGGGACATGAGGGCTCTGGTCCCTTGAAGGTAAGCTCTCAGTTGACATACTATCTGAATTGCTCCCATTATCCACCCAACCATTATTTTCCACCGCCTTCCTCTCCTCCTTCCCAGCGCTCGTCTTTCCCAACTGCCGATCACCTCTGCTAGCACTTCCGCCGCCAGGCTTAGACAAATTACTAGCACCCAAAGCACACCCCTTCTCTCGACTCCCATAACCGAAGAAGCTCTCCTGCGGCAACGGCCCCGATCGCGTCTTAATCTTATGCAACCCCAACGAAGACGCCAAAATTGGTGACACCGACAGCGAAGTAGGCCCAACTTCCTTGACCTCCGATTTCTTCGGCTTTGAAGAACCCAACCCACCTGGACTGGCTTTCGCAAACGAATTAGGACTACGCACTGGGATATCCTTTCCTTTACCGTCCTTCTTCCTATCCTTGAAGCTAGCAGCAAAGCTAGAAATCGAAGTCGGAGTGCTGGGGGAGTTGTCCTTGGAAGCAGAACCGGCCTTGGCCTTCTTCTTATCGGCTCGGATCGGGGAATTCGACCCGACCGAACGCGGACTATTGGAGGATCCATCCGTGCTGGAAGCATCATACTTCTTAGAAGAGAAAAATCGACCCTTGAACACCATTTTTCCGGTCGATGGGTCCGCTAGGGTTTTGAAACACAGTCCGCTAAGCTCCTCAGCTTGAGAGCTATAAGCATGGCGGAGATGATGGTGGTGGACTGGAGCAGACTGTACGGTTTTACGAGAGAGAAGTGGGGCTGAAATGAACGGAACCAAGAAAAGACTGCAACTATTTTGGACTTTCTTTTTTTGAATATTGTGGATGAGCGTTGAGCAGAATGTACGGACATTATTTCCGCTTTTAAAAAGTAAATTTTTTTTTTTCTTGGTGTGTTTGAAAATTAAAAAAAAAAATGAATTTTGAAAATTGTTTTTAGAAAATGAGTTATTTTTTAAAAAATATTTATGTTTCACGTGTTTGATTGCATCTTAAAAAATTGTTTCGGTGAATTTGGTTCTTTTTTTTTTTGAAAAATGAGTACAATTATATAATTAAACATTTTAATTGTTTAGTTTAGAATATAATAACATTTATAACAATAACAATAATATAAATGGTGGTAGTGGGGTAGTGTCGTGGTGATGATGTGGTGGTGGTGGCGGCGGTGGTAGTGGTAGTGGTGATAGTGGTGGTGTTATTTATAATAATAATAATAATAATAATAATAATAAAATGGTGGTGGTATGGTGGTAGTGGTGGGGGTGATGGTGGCAGCGGTGGCGGTGGTAATGGTGGTGTAGTGGCGGTGCGGTGTTGGTGTGAAAATTGAAAAATGACTTCCCAAAAAAACAAAAGATGTCATTTTCCAAGAAAATGGGGGTATTTTCCTTTGATCAAACACTCATTTTTCTTTGACTCACATTTTTACTCTTTACCAAACACGAAAAATCATACATAAATCATTTCCAGGTTTCCAATTAAAGGATCCCATAATTTTATATTTTTAATTTTTAATTGAGTTAATTTTAAGGATGATCTCTTGATTATTGACATTTATCAATTTTTATTTTTTTACTTTAAATTAGATTAAATTATAAATGATCTCTTGACTATTGACATTTACCTATTTTCATCATCATTTTCAATTTGACAATAAATGCCTATTGATTTTGTTTCAAATTTAATCATGCATTAAACATCAATTTAGTAAATATTAAATTTAAAAGATAATTTAAAATTTGATTATTCACATTGCCACTAATAATGATAAGAGTTAATAACTGATTTGGTCTCTTGACTATAGCGAAATTACTGATTTGATCATCGACTATCAACTTTACCAAATTAAGTCCCCAACTATAAAAATCTTACTCAACTATAAAAATTCCATCCATAAGCCATTAAATTTAAAGACAAAAAAATAATTTCAATATGCTTGCCGGCTAAGTCCGCCTTCTTCGTCGGCAGTGGCTAAGCGATGATTTCCTCTACATTTGTGGAACCATTTCATTTGAATAATACTCTCAAAGCCTTGGCATACAAAAATAATGACATATTGCATACCCAGCACAGAAGATAATCATGAAACATTGCATGTCTTTCCTGTTTCGATGCTCTCAAAATTATAACATCCTTGTGAAAGGGACTTCAGAAATTGTTTTGTGTTCAGTTCTATAAGTGAGTGAAATTATCACATGAATTCATGAGAGACCCATCAATTTCTTTAGAAGCAAATGGTGCATGATAATGATATTATTCAGGCATGATTTGTAGATATATAACAAATATTTACACAGGAATCATGGGTCTTTGCAAACCAACAATCATCATTTTCAATATGAATTGAAGTTTATGGGAATATGACCACACAGCATTGTAGAAAGGAAGAGAAAAGAAAGTGTTGGCGACAACAAGAAAAAGAGAAGGGAAATATGAAGACTAAAGGAAGACAGACGACTGTTCCCTCCCACCATCGTAGCCACCGTAGCCATCACTCTCTACATCTTGCTTCTTCATAAACTTAAGCTTGAAGTTGGTGAGGATATCACGGCTCCACCTAGTATGCTCCTTCGCTGTAACCGCCAAAATTTCGTCCACCACTTCTCGCACAACTCTCCTACCCTTAGGCGCTCACTACTGAAAATTATGGAATTTCCGACCACCTGAAAGTGATCTTAAATCAAGTTGAAACCAAAAAGTTGTCGGAAATAGCAACAAAGGATTTTCCGGATACTAAAAGTGATCGAAACAAGGCTTTCGACTTGATTTAAAATCACTTTCAGGTGGTCGGAAATTCCATGATTACCAGTAGTGGCTGCTGGCGAAGAAGGTGGACTTAGTCGAAGTATTCGGAGTTCTTCGAGAAGCCTCGATGAATAAACTTGTTGTTGACTTACGGATTTCCATTATCTCTGTAATATTCTTCTTCACAAATTCTATCACAAAATGCTCATTTCTACTCCAAATTCCATGAAACCAAATTCTAAACGTGCGTCGTGACGGTCCGGAGCGTCCGAGGCTCAAAGGCCCGCGAACCCCGGTCCGAAACGACACGCAGCTGAGCCACAAGGGCCCGGCCACTGCACAGCTTCTGCTTAGCGGGGCTTGAGGAGCCCCGTTGCCTGGAGTCACCAAGCGGCGGCCTAGGGCCACGGCTCTTGCCTAGAGTCGTGCCAAGGGCCGCTCCTCCACGGCCTTAGCCAACGACTCCCTCATAGGGCCGTTGGCTAGTCTCACCTCTCATTTGGTGCACACTGTGTACACTAGTGAGCTTTTTCTTCACATGTAAGACATTTTCAGGCAGATAATCACTCCCAAAACATCAACAACACATCTAAGCTCAGCAATAGCACATTCTACTAGCTCAAACACACATTATTCAGCATTTCAACTCATTTCTAAGCACAAACGATGACTTCACAGAGTCAAAAATAGATTTGGGAGTCCATATATGGGGTTATACACTTTATAGATCAAAAGTTCTTAAGTTAAACCTTTCTAGGGATACATAGTATTTCCCAAAATATAAGATGCTAAAAACGGAGTAGTTTTAGGGAAATGATAGCATAAGCTTTAAATATCTTTATGATCAAATATATACCTTATACATAGTTACATATGTACATATTCCCAAAATCAAGTATAACATTTCCCAAAACATATATGCTCATATATATAATTCTAGAAATATAGCTTTCTTGGCAAATCATAGCTTTTGTTAGTTTAATCCCTTCTCAAACATATTTATGATTTTCTATGAAAATACTTTTAAATATAAATAATCCTTCAAGCCCAAATAATATCTTATGTAATCTAAAATAATATCTCAAAGATTAAAATTGCTCAATTGGAAGAAATTCTAGTTATTAATCAAAAAGGTTAGGTGTTCAAATCTCATTTTAAACAATTTTATCAAAGCATAGCACATCAAACTAAAGCTAAAACAAAAATTTACTAGTTGTGGGAATTGACCCCAGGCTTACCATCTAACAAACTATTACTCGTACTAATGGACTATCATAAACCATGGTGACAAATCTTGTCTAGATCGATTACTATCGTCCGTGAACTCCCATAACCATTTTCTGCTACTGCCTTCCTATCATCACTTCAACAAATAATCAATTCTCCAAAATCACATAGCAAGATAACAACAAATAACATATATTTCATCACTTTAAACACTCAATACATATGTGTATACCCACTTGAACAAATAAATCACATATTTTAGGGCAAAAGACTAGATTTGGGAATTCATGGGTTATACCTTGAGCATCCTTGTTCTAGCCAAAACCATTTCTAAGCTCTTCTTCTTCACCCTTCATTTTCCTTCTCCAAATCAAAACATAGCAACAACGTCACCATTTCCACTCACAAGCACACAAACAAACCCACATAAATACATCATCTTAACAACTTAAACGAGAGAATGGAATGGAGGAAGAGAGGAGGAAGCTTACCCAAATCTTGGTCTAAGGCTTGGAGAAAAGGAGCTTTCAAGGTGAAGAAGATGAAGATGGTAGAGAGGTGGAGAGAGAGACACGAGAGAGATGAGAGTGCTGCAGATTTCTTTTAAATGAATAGTGAAACAAGGGAAAAGCTAACTCTTATACTTAGGGTTTGGGGGTAAAAATGTAAAGATACAATTTTAGGGTTCACCTTGTATCATGGACCAAGGTCTAGAAGATGATGTTAAAATAGTTTTGGGGTCAAAATAGATTTTCCCAAAAATACTTTCTAGACAACCACTTAGTTTAGGTTTCTCAGATTTTTTTTTTCCAGTTTCACTCAGATTGACTTCCGGATCAAAAATGAGGTACGCAATGTACCCGAGAATTTAGGATTTTTGAAACAGAATATTTCTAGTGTTGAATTTATTCAAAAGTGGCTCAAAATAATTTATTCAAACACCGATTTCATCGCAAAAATTTTTATGGAGTGAAAAATGGCTATTTGGAATTTCTTAAAACCGAAATTAGAAAATTAAATTTTGGGTTGTCACACTAGCTGGTGAGAAAACTAGGAACTCTATGTAACACCCCCGTTTTTCATACATATGAGCCTAGTATAATTCATACATTTAAGAGGCTTAAGCAACAGAATAAACAAAAGGATTCTATTAACTACTAACAGAATCTAGAATCTATAAACTACAAGGCTAAACTACTAGATCCCAATTTCCAAAATATCATACAATAAAGATTGGGTAGGCCCATATTTCTATTCATCAAATAACCCACATCTCAACAAGAGATTAACTCAGAGAATCCTTAATCATTCTATGATACAAAGCAAGCTAAGGGTTAACAAAAACTACATACTAGGAACTAGAAATAAAAGATACTATCTATCTAGTTCCTCAAGGCGCGTTCTTAACAAACATTACTCCAAACCTAAAATGGGTTATCAAGAAAACATACGAAAAGAACTCGTTAGCATATAATTCTAAGTATAAATCACTCAACCCTGTAACATAAGTATAGATATAGGTTTGGAAAAATATGTAGTTTTATCATTCACATTTAGCATATACCACATAGGATCATGGAAGGCAAGTCAAGTAGATATAGAGTATAGATATAGATAGGTTCACATATATACATATATACATGTGGACAACTGTAAATAGTTCTTATTTCTCTCCTAGGCGGCCGTTCGCACGAGAGCGTGCCCCTATATATATGTATGTATGTATGTATGTATGGATGGATGGATGGATGTATGTATGTATGTATGTATGTATGTATGTATAGATGTATGTATGTATGTATGTATAAAACCATTCAGTTATTTTTCGGTTCGATTTG